TTTTTTAAAAATTTTTTGAGACAAGGCCTTACTATTTCACATAGAGCCCTAGTTTAAAATGTCACATCTAAGGGCCGGGGATATAGTTCGGGGGCACAAGCGCCTGCATGGCAAGTGCAAGGTCCTGAATTTGATTCCCGGTACCATTAAAAAAAAAAAAGACAGTAAAATGTCACATCTAAAAGAAAGGGAGACATAAAACCAGATCATTGTATCCAGTGTGGTATGTGCAACAGTTCTGGAAAAGGCTGACAGTTCAGAGCCGGAAAGGAGACAGCACAGAACATGCTGTTTGATCCCGGAACTTCCAGGATGTAATAGTGGACCAAGCAGAGAAGGGAGAGATACTTGCCTTCACTCGTTGCTGCTGTTTGTGCCCCCATTCTGAAGAAAGCTGTTTCTCTCTGCCCCCAGTCAACAGGCACTGTACCCCTTTCAGTTACTGCTGCATTGCAGCTGACGCACAGCCAGGAAGACTCCAGCCGTTGCTCAGATAACTCAAGCTATGAGGAACCCCTATCACCCATCTCAGCCAGCTCCTCCACCTCCCGCCGGCGACAAGGCCAGCGGGACCTGGAGCTCCCTGACATGCACATGCGGGATCTGGTAGGCATGGGACACCACTTCCTACCAAGTGAGCCCACAAAGTGGAACGTAGAAGACGTCTATGAATTCATCCGCTCTCTGCCAGGTGAGGCCCTTGGAAATTCCATGCCGGCCTGGAATAGCAAGGAATGAGAGGGAGGGAGACCTCTCTTCCCCCTACCAGGAAGGATCAAGTAGTTCAGTTAATGGCTCAGGAAGTAGGATGCAGAGATTGCTAACCATGAGGCCCCTGCCGTTAAGAGGTTATACTGTAGTGCAGAACACATGCTCTTAAGTGGTATTCCACAGCTTTAGTTCTAAACACCATTGGCAGGTGACCTGTGTGAAATGTAGAGGTGGTAATGAAGTCGACTTTTTCTCTCCTGGGGTAGGCTGTGAGGGAGTCAGGTGGAAATGTGGACAGTCTGCCATGGCAGACACAAAAACCAAGGGTTGACTTTTCCCTAGGTTAGTTCTTAGCCTAGAAACCATTTCATAATTTCAGCATCATTTCTCATCTGGAGAAGCTGGGAAGCCAGAGCCAGTAAATACTGGCTCCTTTGTGTTAAATAGCTTCTCCTTCACTTTCTCTTCTCCCTTTTTTACTTTGCTTTTTTTGTTGGAGACAGGGTCTCACACTGCAGTGTAGGCTGACCTTAAACTCATTAGGTAGCCCAGGCTGGCTTCAAACTTGTAGCAATCTTCCTGCCTCAGACTCCTGAGTGTTGGGACTATAGGCATGGACCACCCTATAGTCCCAGCTCTCCCTTTTTTACTCTGAGCAGCAAAAAGAAGCTACGCAATGCGTTCAGCATTCTGCCTGAAAATCTTCTCAACTAGAACTGGGTATGGTAGCACACACCTGTAATCTCAGCACTCAGGAGGCTGAGGCAGGAGGATCTCTACAAGTTCAAGGCCAGCCTGGGCTACACAGTGAGTCCAGGCCAGCCTGAACTACATAGCAAGACCCTGTCCAAAAAAGCAAAAAAGAAATCTTCTCAACTAGTTCACTCAGTTTCTTGTGTACATTTAACTCAGCACGTTACCAGCAATATTGCTAAATATTCTGTTTAACAAGATACAACTGAAATTCCTGTCTCCTCCATTCTTTCAATAGTGATTTCTTTAATTTCCTTTAAGCTTCCCAGCCACTGCCACAAAGGCATTCAGGCTTTTGCTTGTGGTGTCAAAGCACCTTAGCTGTTCACTGACATGTCTTCACATCCATCCAACTGCTGCCCACTGCCACGCCCACATACTTAGTTTTTTAATGACAGCATCCCTCTTCCAGATATCAACGTCTTTTTTAGTTATCGCTGTGATATAGATTACTGTAAAATCTAGTGACTTTAAACAGTAACCACTTATCTCAGGGGTCCATGGGGCAAGAAGCTGGAGTGGCTCGGCTGAGCAGCTCTGGCTTAGGGATTCATACAAGGTCTCAGTGACGTCATCCAGGACTGTAGTCATCTAGAGGCTTGGAGCTGGAGGACCCATTTGCAAGTGGCTCCCTCGTGCGAGTGACCTGTGTGGCTCAGTAGCACTCAATGGCACTTGGGCCCTCAGTTGCTGTCCATGTGGGCCTTTCCAGAGAGCTGCCAGAGAGAGGTCTAGCAGGGTGGTCATCTTATTCAAAAGTAATCCGAAGGAATAGTCCAAAGGAACTGTATGCTTTACGAGCCAACCTTAGAAATCACACACTGTCACTTCCATGCCACCTTATTGGCCACCTGGGTCGGTGCAGTTTGAGGAGGTAGAGGTCTGGATCAGGACTCCCTTGAGTAAGTCACTTAGCCACTGATAAGCTGCAAGATAAGAACAGCAGTGCTGTCCTCAGGGATAAACCTCAGAGAAGAGGCTGCCCATACGGCTAGCTGCCACAGATGAATGCTGTCACTTTAACTGGTGCTGTCTTCGGTGCCACCCCCAGGCTGCCAGGAGATCGCAGAGGAATTCCGTGCGCAGGAGATTGATGGGCAAGCCCTGCTGCTGCTCAAGGAGGACCACCTGATGAGTGCCATGAACATCAAGCTGGGGCCGGCCCTGAAGATCTACGCGCGCATCAGCATGCTGAAGGACTCCTAGGGCTGGCGGGGCAGCCGGGCGGCCCAGGGCTCCCGCCTGGGCACAGCCAGATAGACATTCCTGAGGGGCCCAGAGATGGGGCCAGTCAGAGGGAAGGGCCTCTCTGTAGGGGCGCGGCTGGTGGGGAGGTCCGGGTACCTCCTCAATGGCTCTCAGGGGCCTTTCATTTCTTTGGGGGCGCAGAGAGGCGGGGGGCATAGAAGATGGGGCTTTATGCTTGTAAATATTGATAGCACTGGCTTCCTCCAAAGTCCCAATACTCTAGCCCCGCTCTCTTCCCCTCTCTCTGTCCCCCATTTTCCAGGGGGTTTATGGTCAGGGCTCCCCAACGTGAGTTGGGTTACTTCCGAGGGCAGCCAGCAGGCCTGGGTAGAGGCCTTGAAAGCCCTTGCCTTCCTCCTTCCCACCTCCTTCTCCAGGCCTGGTTAACCTTCCGTGCCAGCTTCTCCCCCTTTGGCCTGTTCTGGCAGCAGCGGGGGGGTCTTCCCCGTATACCTTCTGCAGGTGGAGAGAGAAGCTGGACCCACTTTGGCCATGCCTGCTGGCATAGACGCCTTAACGCTGTGTGTGTGACTGTGTGACTGTGTGGGAGCCTGGACTGACAGGCCATGAGCTGCCCTGTGGCATCTCCAGGTGTTTTGTAGCAAACAGCCACTTAGTGCTTTGTCCTGGACTCCACTCGGCCTGAGGATGGGGAATAGAAAAGAAGGGCAGCCTCTGTGGGGATTAGATTTCTCTCCAGACATGCCAAGAGGTCTCTGAAGCTCCTCCCCACACTGTAATGTCCCTGACTGCCCTGCTGTCTCACAAGCAGCATTAAGGAAGCTGCCAGTGGGCTGCGCGTGTAGCCCAGGGGCAGAGCCAGGTGGAGCCTCCTGGACAGCCTGCCTGTTTCCCCAGCAGCCCCGTGGGTGGGGCCCAGGAGCCGAGGGGAGAGATCAGCCAGAGGCAGGATGTGTGAAGAAGGCAACCTTTGACCTCCGGCTCCCATGTTTTTCTGCTTGTAAAACTTCCTAGCAGCAGTTAACCTGGCTGAGGAGGAGGCTGGGCAGGGGGGTGAAGGCTGCCCCTCACTTGCCCTGTCCTCCAGCTCCTGGGGGAGAGTCCAACTCTCCCTGGAAGGGGTGGGCATCATTCTCAGCTTGTTCTATTCCCCACCCACACCCCCAGGCAGGATTGGAAATGAAGGACTTTTTTTAATGTTTTGTTTTTTTAAAAATAAATCTGTAAAATCTGCCTCTTCTGTGCCTTTCTCCTATAGAGATGCCTGTTCTTTGGATTGGAGTGGCTACTTTTCACCTGTAAAGACAAGGCATGGCCACCTTAACTGGTAGCAGTGTATCCCTCACAGTTGGCGGCCGGGTCATTGGAAGTGTCCCAGCCCCATTCCCCGTACGGAAGATCCAGAGCACCTCCCCGCCATTCCCATCTGGGACACGTGGTGGGGAACAGTGGGCCAGAACCCAGATTCTACCACCCTCCAACAGATGCCTTGGTGGGGAGCTGCCCAGTGTCCAGAAGAGCCCTTGGGATAGATTTACTTACAGATTTTCCAGGCATTTTTTAGGATTAGGACATAGGAGGTGACCCTCAGCCTTACACAAAAGGGAAGGAAGGGCGTCTCAGGCCAAAGCAGCATGGCAAGGGCACTGCCGGGACATGGAAGTGCAGGTGGGCGGGTCCCAGCCAGCTGGGCTGGGTGCGTTGTGAGCTGCAGTGGCTGGGGTGGGCTGTGCACTGGGCCCAGACGCTGTGCTGAAGATGAGCGTGTCCTCTGGCGTGAAGCAAAACCTGTACCCGCCTCACGGGATAGAGAGGAGGCAGCTGCCTCTCTTGGGTAGGGTTTCATTTAAGCAACTGTTAAGAATGTGGGTTTCTATACCTTGCCCCACCTGTATTGGAAAAGAAGCTCTCAGGAAAGAAAGATGAGGCATAATTTTGAGGACCAGTACCTAGATCTTGGTAACTCCTTTCTAAAGAACATGTTAAAATTTAACTACCACCAGGGGAAGGAGAAACTAATCTATCACCCATGGGACCAAGGCCTGGCAAGCCAGGTGTCCTGAGGGAGGCTGCCTGGGTAGAGAGCCCTGCGGGGTGTGGGGGAAGCAAGGGCGTCTTCCTGTGCTGCTCTCGCTAAGGACTATGGCGGTGCCTGGCGCTCTGGGCAGGTCTCTTCTTTTTCTGGACCCAAATCTCCTTATGTGGGAAAAAATGAAAACCAGGCCCCACCCAAGCTTTGTTCTAAGTGTGTGATGAAGAGGGAGGGAACCGAAACTATTAAAAATATGGTGAATATGAGGGAGTGACTTGTACAGTGAATACTCATGTTATTTTTCCACTTCGGGTGACAGGTCCCAACCTACTGCAAGTTTGAAGGGCATGTCTTTAAATACATATTTCCCTCTTCCTACTTTTAAAATCTTGATCATGCTCCACAAAACTTAACTGTTGACTCTGGTGGATACCACTTGCACTTTCTTGTTGTTATTTTTCTTTTTTGAGACAGGGTCTCACTATGTAGTTTAGTCTGACCTCCAACTCACAGTGATCCTCCTGCCTCAGCCTAGTGCTGGGATTATAGGTGTGCGCCACCACGCCCAGCTGCCACTTACACTTTTGAAAAACTTGCCCAGTGTGAGCTGCACAAAACTCTTGCACAGCCCTGATCTTAACCAGCTCACACTGTCGTGGTGGACGTACCCCACGTCACTGAGGAGCAGTGAGTTGCCCAAGGTCATCGTGTCCATCCAGTGCTCTTCTGCTCCAGTTGGGACTCTCTGGAGCCATACTTTCTCTGAGTAGGAATGACACACCCTAGCCTGGGCACTTTCAGAAACACCTGAAGAGCTCAAAGGCCATTGTGGAGGAAAGAAATCAATACAAAGCTCAGGTTCTGGGCAATTCAGATCCACCCCTTCCTGCTGATTGGCTGGGGGGCCCAGCTTCCTCCACTAGGCCCCACCCCCAGCAGTGGCCTTGCCGGGCAGTCCTCTGCTTGTTTTTGTGGGTGTGGTTCCTGAGATGAGGGGCAGGAAGGAGCTGCTTTGTTCCAGTCACCACCACTGGAAGCAGGTCATTTCTTCCCTGACTGAACAGAGAAAGAGTGGCAGGCTGTTCCACTGGCTTCTTCCTATGGCCCTCAAGGAGGGACTCAGGTGAGTGGGGGCACTGCTAGGGCGAGTGGATGGAGAGAAGGGGAAGGACAGCTGATCTAAGGTCTTGTCTGGTGGGCCGAACAGTAGACCACCAAGAGGCAGTGGAGCCACAGGTCCTAGGGAGGTGACAAAAATGGCCCATGTGAAGGACAGGAACCGCACCCTAGTAGGTCGTGCAGCCCCTGAAGTGTGGGGGGGTGAGGGGGATAGACTGCCTTGGTAAGGCAGAGAGTGAAGCCCCAGGGCATGCGCTGCCCCCTCCTGAGCTCTCCATCCCCATGAGACTGACTGTCCGGGACCTGCACCTCCTTGAGGACTAATAGCTGATCTGTACCCTTTTGAAAGCAAAAGGAGCACGGCACAGGTAAGGCTTAACCACCTGCAGGTGGAACTGGCAGACAGGTCCTTGTGAAAGTACTGGACCAAGGAATGTGGGGTAGTGGGTCAGGCAGCGCCTCCATGGATAAGGGTCCTGGATGGGATGTGGGACACATGGAAAGAGCTGGCCTGGGACCCAGCACCCTCCCTCACCTGACTGAGCTCACCTGGGCCACTCAGCCTGCTCCGCCTGGCTGCCCTGGCTGAGACTCAATGCCCAAGATAAACGCTGGCTTGCCTACCCTATGGGGGAGGGGGAACACCGGCTGAGAAAGCAGAGCCGCTAAGGGCAGAAAGAAGTAGCTAGCTTTTCTCTACCCCTGAACCGCAGCCAGTCTTGCCAGCTGCCAGTCCAGACTGGCTTCTGGAGGCCAGAAAAGCACAGCCACTGCCCACCCTCCAGGAGTCTGCAGTGAACAGCAAGAGAAACACCAGCAAGAACCTTGGGAGCAGCCAGGAACCCAGCGCTGGGCTGGGGCCAGGCCGTACGCACCCAAATGCCGCACCAGAGGCCCTGCTCTAGAGTCAGACCTAAACTCAAGGCGCAGCCCACCACTTACCAGCCTGTGACCCTGAGCAGATGCCTTAATCTTCCCGCGCCTCAGTCTCCTCACTCACAAGGTGGAGATGAGTCCATCTCCTCTTGCTAGGGGCTGTGGTCAGATTTCAGCAACACGGGCAGAAGGTTCGGCTCAATTAAGTGTTTGTGATTAATGGCCCAAATCTTGAAGACAGTGGAGTTTTAAGCAAAGGGAGTTTGGGAAAGAGTGAAGTCACAGCATTCTCTTTACACCTTGGTTCATTTACCAAACACATGATCATTAATACGACCAGTTAGGAGCCGGCTGTGGGATTTGGCACGAAGAGTGCAAGGTCTTACCGAACAGACTCACAGCCCGGTGGGCAGTCAACTCGTAGATTGCAAGAGCTACCCAGGGCTTGGGCAAAGGTTCAGAAGAGCACTTTGGGGACAGGGTCGGGTGGGGAGACTTCAAAGAGGCTTCATAAAGGAGGGAGGAGGGAATTATGATGAGAGGATGGGAAAAATGACCTGGACAAAGGTTGGGGAGACACAGTCATGTAAGCTTAAGTGACATCATGACAGAGGGCACAGAATTGAGACTAGGAACTGATGACTGGATAAAAAAGATGTGGGTTTTTTTTATACAATGGAATACTACTCAGCCATAAGGAATGATCAACTGGACACATTTATAGCTAAATGGATGGACCCTGAGGCCATTCTCTTAAGTAAAATAAATCAGACACCATGGAAATATCCCATTGTCTCTCTTGTGTGAGAAAGTGAAAGTGTAAATAAGAACAGAAATGTATGATGGATATAGTGAAATAGGAAGAAACTGTTCAAAAGGAAAGGGAACTCTCCTTTTAGAGAGGGAAATGAAGGAAGGAGAAAAACAAGAAAAAGGATAAAATGGAAACAAAGCTTTATAAGGAGGAGAGGGAAGAGTGGTGAAGAGAAGGGAAGAGAATGGGAAAAAAGAGGAATCAAGGTATCTCATGTACAGTGTGAAAAACAAAGAGGAAATAAAATCTAAAATGTACAATCGATATTGTGAAATGTGAAGAAATGGTTCAAAAGGAAAACAACTAGGACAGGTGAAAGGGGAAAGGATAGTAGGGAAAAGGGGGGAAATGCAAGGCAGTTATACTATTAGTGTCTCTCAGTTCATTAAAAAGGAAGGTTTGTGCTAATATCGATTGGAGAAATTTTTATGTCCATATCTTGTACCCTGAGCAACTACTATAAAGACGGTAACATGTAATGTATTAACTATTGTTATTCTCCTATTATTTTGTTACGAAATTTTGTTTTACCTTTTTTCCACAAAATAAAAAAAGATATCTCATGTACAGGTAAAATTCCCTGTGATGAATATGATCATTATGTATAGCTAAATTGTACCAATAAACTTAATAATTAAGAAAGCAGGGCATGGTGGTGCATGCCTGTAATCCCAGCACTCAGGAGGCTGAGGCAGGAGGATCGTTGTAAGTTGGAGGCCAGCCTTGGCTACACAGTGAGTCCAGGCCAGCCTGAACTATATAGTGAGACCCTATGTCAAAAAGAAAGACAGAGATGGAGGAAGGGAGGAAGGGAGGAAGGGAGGAAGGGAGGAAGGAAGGAAAGAAGGAAGGAAGGAAGGAAGGAAGGAAGGAAGGAAGGAAGGAAGGAAGGATAGATGGAAGGAAGGAAGGGAGAAAGGGAGAAAGAAAAAATTAGAGACTGGGGGCAGGTTAGGAAGCTGTTGCCAGAATCCACATAAGACAAGGAGTGACAAACAGAACAGTGGGTGTGGGCAGGAGGGAGGGCTCAGGTACTAAAAAGGAAGTAGCCGCAATAGAAACTGATGATTAAGCCACTGTGGCGGGACAAAGGGTCACACGATCCACATGATGAGACAGGTTTGGGGGAAGGGATGCAAACTGCAGCATGAGAGGCGCTGAGTTTGAGGCATCTGTGGCACAACCAGGTGGACACGGCTCTCTAGGGACATGACACCTGAGCCCAGTGTTCAGCAAGAGAGCTGGGCTGCAGTCACCAGCAGAAAAGCCACATGGTGAAAGAGGAGGTGCGGAGAACTGAGCTCCAGTAACAGGCAGTGCTGGGAGGTTGGGTGAGCAGCGCCAGCAGACAAGGACAAGAGTGACAGGATGGGATATGACTGGAGAGGTGGGCAAAGGCCAGAGTAACAAGCACGGAGCCTACTCTAAGAGAAGCGAGAAGTGGTCAGAAGGCTTTGAAGAAGAGATGCATGTGGCATATGAATGGACTGTAGGGGACAAGAGCAGAAGCAGGGCGGTTGGCAAAGCAAGCAGGCTCTGCCGGAGGGCCGGATGTGGACAGCTGGGAGCGGGCATGACTGACACAATGGGAGGTACACAATGAGTTAACAGAAGGAATACATGCTCATTGTACAGGACCAAACACGGCAAAAGGCCAGGAGGACAGGTGCACAGGTGTGTGCCATTTCGGCTATGCCGGGTTAACATATGCCAGTGGTAGTAGGGCAGCACACCTATAATTTCAGCACTCTGAGAGGCTTGATGGGGGAGGATCTCAAGCTTGAGCCTAGTCTGTGTAATTTAGTGATTTGGTGAAACCCTGTCTCAAAATTAAAATTTAAAAAGGGCTGGGGATGTAGCTTGGTGTGAAAGTCCTGGGTTCAATCTCCAATACTTTCCCCGCTAAAGGTTAAGATCAATCTCACCTATTCCTTTTTACTTTTTTAACACATTCATGATGGGGCCGTAATTCATATGTCTTACGGCCAGGTTGCTCTGATGTAATTTGTATGTCTTGCTTAAAGGCATCTCTGATTAAATTTTACTAGTAAAAAGACCATAAAAGTGATTAGATCCATTTGTACCCCCAGTGGTTCAAGCTGGCAGGAACATGTTAATGTGGCTGATATAAAATCAGCTGATATAAAATCTTAAGTTACCTTAAGTTACCTAGGCGGCTCACATTTGATTACATAATTACAGGGCATGGATACACATGCCTTAAGAGCATGGGCACAGGAGCTCCCCCTCACAGATATGACATCTGTCTCTAAGGGGGCTGTTACTCCTTCTTCGCCTAATACCCTTTCCTGGACACTCTGGCACAACTACATCTGCGTCATCCTTAGTGGCCATGTTGCCCTCCGCTACATAGATATGCTTAATGCATTGATCCAATGAACAGAGGTTGTTCATATTCCCTTGTCTTTTTCAGCAATGCTACAAGAGCACGGTTGGACAGTCCACTGTGGAGTACCCACGCCTGCAGGCAAGCAAGGGGAGTGGGCGTAGGGTGAGCGCTAAAGTTGGAACACATTGAGAAGGCTCCTTAGGCAGCGCTAAGAGATGTGGACTTGATCTTTCAGTCAACAGGAAACCACAGAGTAACTCTTTCTGCAAATTATTTTCTCTTCATTTTTCCTTCATTAAAACAGCAATTTAAGTAAGTACATTACACTCACTGGAAAGAAAAATAAAGGAGAAAACTCTCTGGTGGAATCCTATCGTACAAACACTTAGGTCTTTCCTTTCACTCACTGGCGCATGTCTTTCATTCTTGTTAATTCTCACCATGGTGCACATTGCTTTTTGATCCTTTTCTCCTTTGGCATGTGAGTCAGCATTTTTGCATGTGACTGTGAAGGCTTGGTGACAAGTTTATTCAGCAGGGCCCTCTGGCTGGACACCGAGACCGTTTCCAGTTACACCTGACTGGCTCAGACACTGTCTGTCTCTGGGACTTCCGACACTTCTCTGTGGATGTCTCCCAGGCAGCAGTCAGCAAGCCGGTCTCCCTTGGGTCCAAAACACCCATTTCTAGCCCCTCCTCTCCTCCAGTTACCATCCTCTCTGTCCTCCACGTAGTATTTTCCTCTCGGGAGAGTCACCTACACACACACACACACACTTCTCACACATTTAACACTCAGCCTCTCCTATTCCCACTCAGCTCTCTGTGCCAGGGCTCTGGCCTCCTGTCCCTTGTGCCCCTCCTGGCGAATCCAGCACTCTCTCCTAAGCCTGCCTGCCTTCAGGGCTCCAGCTCCTACCCTCAACCAGACAAGCAGACCACTTCTCCTTTCCCAGCCCCTCAGCACTATCCCTCCAGTCAACAGCCAAGTCAGGCCCATTCCTCTTCCTCTACAGCCCTCACGGCCTAACACCTAACCTTCCTACTGTATCACCAGCACCCTGCTTCCTGCCGCCGGTAGCAGTCTTACCCCTAACTTACCTTTCTACCTTCAACCACACCCTCCCTCCCAGCCCACCACATCCAGGCTCAACAGTCCAGCACAAGTACTTTTTTTCTCCAAGTGAAAATCTGACTGTGGAACACCCTGGAGGAAACCATCCGGGGCTCCCCATGGCCCATGGAGAGGTGGCCCTGACTTCTACAGCCTCAGCTCAAAGCACTCTACTCCTCCCCAGTGCTGTCTACCTGCCAAGCCTCTAACCTCCTCACCTGTGCTCACCTGGCCTCACGGGCTGCCCTTCCCCCTCACTGCCTCCTTTGCCTGCATATCTCTCATCCTTCAGGTCCTACCTTAGAGGGCACCTCCTCCCTGTACACCAAGGCTCTGGTGCCACCCTACAGCTTGACCTCCTAACACCAGTGTGCACCCTACTCACGACACTCACTGTTCCTGGTCTGTCATGGGACCCATTCCTCATCCCGCTTCTCCCACTGTACCCACGTCTTCTGGTTCCACACCCTGGAGACAGGTCTGCTCACCTACCTCCCAATCCTTGACCTGCCCCTCATCTCCCCCTTATACTGCACTTGTGTGTGCATGCACAACTGACTGGAAGCGGAAGTGTATCCTGATGTATAAACCTTCTATACTGAAGATCACTGCCTACGAACAGGCTCCCAGAGACTGGCGTTACTGAATCAAAGGGGATGAACATTAAAAGCTTTCGATTCCAGCTTTCCAAAGTTACCCTCCTAATTCACACTCTCGCTAGTGAGCCTATCTGCCTCTATGCAAGCAGCTTGGCTGTTTTCATTGTTTTCTTAAAGTGCTGATTTTCTAGGCAAAACTTGCCACCTTGTTCTAATTTGTATGTCTCTGGTTACTAGGAAGGATGAATGTTTTTCCATATATTTGCCTACTACATATATTTTTTCTTTGAGGATTTACCTGTTGGTATGACATAAACACTGGCAAGGGAAGTGACAGCTTATGAGTTGACTCAGAGGGTGCATAGGGAATGAATGAACTAAGGAAGGTTCTGTGGCAGTGGTCCTGGTGACAGATGTGCCGGGCAGGGTCCCTGTGGGAGCTCTGGGGAGGAACAGGAGGTGAGCAGAGACCAAAGAAGCCAACTCAACCCAACATGGGGACGGAAAGCAGACAGTGGGTACAGGAGAATGGTCCGAGTGCAAAGTGCACACAGATTTCTGGCATGGCCAAGTGAACAGAAAGAGGTGCCGGGTCTCAGATGGTGTCCGGGTAGATGCAAACACAACTGCAAGGTGGTTCTCATAGCTGCTCCTAGACACGTCCTGTCAGGAAGCAAGAAGTGGAAAACCAGGAAAGGCAGGGGCCTGAGGGTCTGATCCCAGTAGCCTTCTTGAAAGAGACCAGAGGAAGCCAGAGTTTGGAAGCATTTACAGCGCAGGGAGTGGAGCTAGGAGGTTTCCAGGGGATCATGAGGGTCTGTTAAGAAGAAGAATTACCATCAGCTAAAGTTCTGCCAGCTATTACAATGTACAAGGCCCATGTTAACTCACAGTCTATGACGGCCTCTGTGGACAGTACTCCGGGCACCCATCTTACAGATGAGGAGGCTGACGTGCAGGCCCTGCCTGAGGTCAGACAGCTTAGAAGTGGCAGAGCTGGGATTCAGATGTGGGGATCTGGGCCCAGTGTCTGTGGTCTTCGCTTCTCTCTAGGAGACCTGCAACATGTAGGGACCTTCCTGAAAAACAACCTATTGTAGATAAATCCCACGGCCCACCTCTCTAAGCCAGGAATGGGGCCACTGAGCCCAGGGGAAGGAACTCCAGCCTAGCCTGAACTTTGGCCACTATGGACACGCAGTTTCTGATCGTACCCAGTCCAGCAACTTATCTCTTTACTCCCAGCTACCAAGCCTCAAACTCCCCTATAGCCTCTTCTGGCCTCTCCTCCTGCCCAGGGTCAGCCTTCCCCTCACCCAGGCTAAGCGCTCCAACCCCTAAGGATGCTGTCCTCCAAACCTGCCCAAGGTCATGCCCTGCAGCACTGCTGTCCAAAGACAAGCTCAGTGCTACACAGACAAGCCCTGGTTAGGGAAATCATGCCACCTCCAACCCATAGCATATTAGGCAGCTGGGCAAAAGGGTGAGGAGTTGAAGTACAAAGGTGGAATTATCTTGAAGATATAACAGCAAGATATGCAGGGTGCAGAATGTATACCCATTGTGCTGCCATCTGCAGGAGTGCAAGAGAAAGAGGAAAAGCACACTTGCTACCACATTTATATGTGCTCTGGAAGACACGTAAGAAACATCACACTGGCTGCCTCCATGAGGAGGAGCAGCGAAGACTTTCTGCCTATATACTCTTTCATCCCTTTGAATCTCTGTACCATGTGAACAGGGTGCGTTCTCACTTAAAAACAACAAATAAAATGAAGCACTAATAGCATGTAAATGATCTGTCCTGTGTGTGTGTATGTATGTATACGTAAGTGAGTTACCAATGCCCTTTCCCCCCAGGGTGAGAAAGAGAATCTTCTGGCAGATGACTGTGTGTGCACTTGGCCTCTTAGTCCTGCTCCTGTACTGGTTCCCTGTCAGGTACAGCCTCCTTGCCCCAGCACCTGAGGTGGGACCACGTGGTCACAGTTCAGGTGGATCTTCCCGAGTGCTTCCTCAAGGGATGGAGTAGGTGGCTAGCTCAACCCAGGCAAGTGTCTTCACAGGCTGTCCCTTCTGAGTGTGCCCTTATTGCTGGCCCCACTCCACAGGAATCTGGAACTCCTGATCCCCCTTGATGTCTGCCCTTCAGCCACAATGGCCCTGCTGAAAGACAACTTCACAGGTGATCTTCGACTCTGGTAAGAAACTACCAGTCCTCCCACAAACCTAGAAAGCTCTGCCCATGTCCCTGCCCTCCCCATTTGCACCCCACAGATGCAGCTCCTGCACCCAACAGCCCCAGGGTCCCACCAGGTCACATGTCTCCTCGTCCTCTAACTCTCTGACTTGGTTCTGAGCTAGGAGCTTTTAGAGGCAGGGACTGGTCCAACGTGGGTACCTAAGGCCTAGCACTGGAGAGGTGGCAGTGTGCATGCACTGAGTGGGTGGGTGAATAGAGCTGTCTCTCCATCCCTGCCCTGGCCAGGAACCGGCCTGACGTCCTGACCTGTACCTCCTGGAAGGCCCCCATTATTTGGGATGGCACCTTCGACCCTGACATAGCCCAGCGAGAGGTTAGACGGCAGAACCTCACCATTGGGCTGACTGTCTTCGCGGTAGGCAGGTAAGGCCTGGGGAAAGCTGTGGTGCTATCCAGACAGAGCGTAGGAGGAGCAAGCATGTGTGCAGGGATGTCTGACAGCCTGTCCCCCTGGACCACAGGATCCCAAAGCGCAGCTACAGGCTGTGCCCCTCCTCCCAGACACCCAAGGGGAGCGAACACAAGAGCGCCCTCTCCCTGCCCTTCCTGCCTAGACACCAGGGGCTCAGGGCTGTGTCCTCGAAGAAGTCTGCCTAGGGGTCGGGGCTGGTCCACTAGATTTGTGGTGAGGAAGTGATGGAGTTTCTCAGGTGAGAGTGGGAAGAAAACGGGGAAAGCAAATGGGTAGACAAAGGGAATAAGGTGTCCGCTGGAGGGCAGCAGCCTAGCCACAGGCACAGAGTGGGAGTGGTGAGGGTGTGCCTGGGAATCTGGTGAAGGGAGAGGGACTAGGAAGCAGAAAGGGTTTGCAAGGGAGGGAATCCGAGCTGGGTAAAGGAGGATGGGAGGTGGCAGGTCCTGAGAAGTGGCAGGGTTAGAGGACTTGCTGGGTGGGAGCAGAGTAAGTGAGCTGAAAGAGCGAGGGGATCACACAGTGATGTGAGTGGGGCTGCAGGACACTGATGATACCAAGACAAGGGAGTGGCCACAGAAGCAAGTGACTGAGGAGGTGGAGGATAGAATCACTGCAAGAGAGGAGGTCAGTAAGGAACTGAAAGGCCTAGGCAATGGATGGGGCTCTAAGTATGGAGAGGGGTGGGCAGAGAAGAAATGGCAGGGGCACTGACCTCCCCACTGTGGATAGGAGGAGGGTCCAGGGTAAGTGGCCACCTTCCAGAGGCAATGCAAAAAAGACTCTTGGCTAGGAGTGGCAATCAGACCTATGACCCTAAGGCACAGAGCGTATCGTCCTGGGCAATAAAGGGCGTGTTTCTAGTGCTGGGACAGTCTGCTGTGGAAGGTAGTGAAGGCTTCCTCTCCACCCAGGAAAATACATCTGAAAGGCTGGAGAAGTTTTGTCGCCAGATACCTCAGACAACTGTTCAAGGCTTCTCAACTCTGTCCCTGACACTCTAGTAGGGGAAAAATGCCAGGAGGGTAACTCAGAAGCAAGGGGACAAACAAGACCAAGAGCTGATCCATAGACAGGTGGGCAGAGCTACTGTGCCACTTGAACTCTGACCTTTCCCAGGACCTCAGTCCCCCCACTTCCACTAAGGATGCCAAGGAGTGTTCCTGCACCAGCCCTAGGGGCTTCAGTCTTGAGGAACTGAAGTCCCAGGATCCTGAAGTCCTGAGTTCCAAGCCCCTGTGATGCCGAGGTCTCCAAGATCTCCAATTCCCATTTCCCACAGTTCTACCAGGAACAGAGGAAAAGGCCCAGACTCCAGTGACAAGCTAGGTTCAATCCTACATCTACCAATCCTACATCTACCATTTACCAGTTATATATGCTTGCACAACTAACTAGAGCTCTTTAAATGAAATAATACATGTTGGCTTAGAACTACAGAAAAGATGTTCAAAATATTTGGCATTTTGACATACTAGTATCTAAACGTCTAGTAATAGAATTTTCCAAGCACTCTGGTTATCTATGAGAATTACTACAAACTCAGTCATTTAAAATGACTGATTATTCTGATTAATCTTTTTTTTTTTTTTTTTTGTCTTTTTGAGACAGGATTTCACTATACAGTTCAGGCTGGCCTTGAACTCACTTTGTAGCCCAGGCTGGCTTCGAACTTGCAGTGATCCTCCTGCCTCAGTCTCCAGAGTGCTGGGATTACAGGCATAAAATGACTGATTATTCTTCCAGTACCATTTTGAGTGTCAGGAATTCAGAGGAGGCTCCTCAGAAAGGCCCCCTTGCTGCTCCCAAATGTCTGGGTCTCAAGGGGTAGAATAAATGCTGAGGACCAGTGGGGCGCTTCTCCCTCTACCCAGCCTCTCCACGCAGCTAGCCTGGGTCTCCTCACATCCCGGGACCGCTTATACAAAGGCTCAGCGTGGAAAAGGGGCACAAGCTGCCAGCCATCAAGGTCCAGCAGGTTTGCTGTCTTGGTACCGCAGGGACCGGGGCAGTCAGAGCAAAGCTCACGTCCAGGGGTTGGCACACAGCGCCCCCTCTCTTCAGGGCAAGAGCGGCAAACACGTTGCAGGCACACCACGGTTCAGCGGTTCTAGGTCAGGCTGAGGTTTCTGGACTTCCGCAGATTAGGGTGGGCAGGACTCAGATGGGGGGGTGGCAAGGGGCGGGGTGGCCAACCAGCCTGACTTTGGAAGCGCTCACCCGGCAGGTACCTGGAGAAGTACCTGAAACGCTTCCTGGAGTCGGCAGAGAAGCACTTCATGGTGGGCCAGCGTGTGGTCTACTACGTGTTCACCGAGCAGCCGGCCGCCGTGCCCCGCTTGGCGCTGGGCCCCGGCCGCCAGCTGCGCGTGGAGTTCGTGGTGCGCGAGCGGCGCTGGCAGGATGTGTCCATGGCGCGCATGCGCACGCTGCATGAGGCGCTGGGCGGCCGGCTGGGCCGCGAGGCGCAGTTCGTGCTGTGCATGGACGTGGACCAGCATTTTACTGGCTCCTTCGGGCCCGAGGTGCTGGCCGACTCAGTGGCTCAGCTGCACGCCTGGCACTACCGCTGGCCGCGGTGGCTGCTGCCCTTTGAGCGGGACGCGCGCTCGGCCGCTGCGCTGGCGCGGCACGAGGGCGACTTCTACTACCACGCGGCCGTGTTCGGGGGCAGCGTGGCGGCGCTGCGCAGGCTGACGGCGCACTGCGCGCAGGGCCTGCGGCTGGACCGCGCGCGCGGCCTCGAGGCGCGCTGGCACGACGAGAGCCACCTCAATAAGTTCTTCTGGCTGTACAAGCCCGCCAAGGTGCTGTCGCCCGAGTTCTGCTGGAGTCCGGAGATCGGCAGGCGGGCGGAGATCCACCATCCGCGCCTGCTCTGGGCGCGCAAGGAGTACGCAGAGGTGCGCGACTAGCGCCATCGCGGGGCCAGCCCAGCCGCCGCCGAACCCGGCGGCTTTGCCACCGGAACATGCGGAGAGGGGCTTACAGGAGGGAGAGACCCTGTGACCGGTTCCAGGGAGCCCCTTCTGCAAGCTGCGCGGCAGGCGGGAGGCCAGGGAAACGTCGGATGAAAGGACCCGCGTGCCTGGCCCTCACTTTGACGGGCGATCCAAGTGCAGCAGCAACAGGACCCAGGGCAGACAGTCTGTGGACATGTGACCTCCGACCTTACTGAATTTGGCCGATGCCGCCTGAGCCGATGTTTTAGCTTCACCTCAACCCTTCCTTTAAGAGCGGAGCCTGTGAGACAAAGAGGGTTGTGTCTCCCACACACAGTCATCGGTCGTCGTGGTGTCAGCGATGGGGAACCAATCCGGCTGCTGTGTGTGGGGGGGACGTGAACCAGAGGGAGAGACGCAGGGGGCGTCCCTGACCTGGGCCCTTTCTCCCTCTCTTGCCCATAAGCAGGGAGACTGTATGTGCTTGTCTTGAGTAATTTTATTTTTAAATTTTTATTTGTATTTCTTTGGTACTGGGAATCAAACCCAGAGGCTGCATCCTCAGGCCTTTTTTTAAAATTTTTTACTTTGAGATAAGATCTCATTAAATTGCCCAGACATGACTTGAACTTGCAGCCCTCCTGCCTCAGCCTCCCAAGGTGCTAGGTTCACAGGCATGTGCCACTATGCCCACCTTTGAGTAATTTTATAATAAAGGGTTCCAAAATTGTTTTATGGCCTTTTCTGTCAAGAGAGTCAATGACTGCAAAAGTGACATTTTGTGGCCTCAAGATGACAGAGCAAAGTCTGGCTACCTCACCATATCTGTAATGTAGGTTCCTTCCTCCATGCCTGCCCTCCAGTCTCATTTTGCCATTAGGGAGAATACAGGCTCTGCGTAGAAGCCAGAACTAATCAGCCTCTGCAGGAAGCCCCAGCTATTTTGCCTGAAACTGAGCCTCTGAGAGAGTGGGGTTTCACTGTGAGCTTCTTAAATCCTCTGTGTAGTATTCACACGGGCCTTGTATTTTTAGCAGTCTCCTCTGTTCCCAAGTATGTGGCTATTCCAGCTCTATACCTGGCCCAACCATGATGGTTTTTACAATCTGGTAATTTTTATAAACAAGTTCAGGCGCCGGTGAAGTGCTGCTATAGGAGGAATCACTCCTTCAAAAGTCGTGACTTCTACCTGAAGTAGGAGAGCAAAACTCAGGCCTTTTGGAGTCTGGATGAGAAACAGAATAGACACGTTGTGCCCAAGAAGAGATCTCTGCTGGCTATGAGCTGGCATATACCTTCCTTTGGTGGGAAGACGTTTATTCTCCACTTTACCCTGAAACATTTACAAACCCTCACAACCCCAGGGCCACAGGAAGCTGACAACCAGCCGGCGAGGTCTAAATGTGATCCTGCCCCTCGTCTACCTGTGTGTGATGCGGGCCAGCTCCTTAGTTGTGCTGGCATTTCCTCACATGCAAAATGGAGACATCAGTGGTCCTCTTTGCCATGCTAGAAATCACACCTTGCCTTCTCCTCTGCCTGCTTCCTTTCTTGCGGATTCTTAGGGGACAAAGGAGTCACCAGAGAACAGTGGTTTCCTGTTTAATAGGGGAATAAAGGCATAATCAGGAGCGCCCACGTCTCCAGCTGCGGGCAGCCGCGTGCTGCACTCGGGACCTTCCTGAGGAGGGATAGGGGTTCAGGGAAGTTGAAGGTGGAGCAGGGTATCAGTCTCTACAGAATGGCTCCTTCTGTGGAGCCCACAGGCCTAAGAAAGGGGCAGAGGCTCTAGAGGGACTCAGGAACGAGGCAGAACTGAAAGGGAGAAAACGCTCCCTCTGCAGCCACCTCCATGACCTTCACCGTCGCTCCCAGCACCTGTCCTGGGCCCACAGGGACAGGGTGCTCACACACCCTCCAGGGAAACAGATGAAAATCAGACTCTCAGTTCCGAGTGTCACTGCTGCATGCAAACTCTTCTCCTGTCCCGGGTTTCCCACCTTCCTGGCCAGCTCACATGCCATTCCCAGAAATTCCTCCACGTCTTCACTTACCTTAGGGAACCCTGATGGTTCTGGTTTATACCTAGATGTCCCCCAAAGCCTCATGTGTTCATGATGGAGCTTTTGGAGCTCACTGGATCTAGGCCTTAGATCCTAAGTGTGTGATTCTTGGTTTCAGGGTGTGGAGGACTAAATTAGTCCACTGATTAGCATTAGCATAGCTCTGGGTGTGGCCGAATGGATTTACTGAAGACAGAAGCCTCATCATGGATGCGGGTGGCACCACCCAAAAGGCTTGAAGGCTGGATGGGGTAAAAGGGAAAGGCAGGCTCGCGGCCGCTTTGCCGCCTCCTGCCTGCTCTGCCAGGGGCTGTTTCCCCTCTGCAATGTCTCTCTGCCATGCCACCCTGCCTTGGAGCCAGCCAACCATGGGCTGAAACCTCTACAAACTGTGACCTAAATAAACCTTTCTTCCTTTACTCTGTGGGTGGCAGGTATTTTGTCCCAACAACAAGAAAAGTAACTAAGACACTGATCAAAAAGAACATGAATCCCCCAGAGCTAAGTCACATAACAGCAATTAGCAGTAACAACGTGTACGTGTTGGAAGGTACTTACCGTGTGCCAGGCAGTGCTGAACCTTAGACATGTAGTAATTCACGTAGTCTTCATACCCACCTCATACGTTGATTACTGTTATTTGCCTTATTTTACCTAAGAGGAAATCAGGCCCAGAGAGGTTAAGTACCTCCAAGTTGTATCCCTAGGAACATAATTTCATGGGTGCCAGAAAAGGAAATTACACATGGCCAGAGGCTGCAGATTGGGAGTTGGGAACAGAGGTTATCACTAGCTTTCAGGCTCCTCTGTCCATTTCTTTGTGTCCTTGCCTCTTTATTCTGCACATGTCTGACCCAACTCAGCCACTCCGGCTCACCCTCTCCTAACTACCTTGCTCCGGATTCATGGAGCGGAGAACCCGACTAAAGAGGGGTAGCTTCACCCAGTGGTGTGCTAGTAAATGTCTAGCAACTGACTCTTCAGAGAAAATCCTTGATTTCCCACTTGCAGTGGTATAGGTCCCATCATGGCTGATGGTGAGCTACCAACACTCAGGCAATGCGCGGTGGGAAAGAGGCCGGTGTGCACAGTCCGCTGTCCTGAGCCTCGGCAGCCACCGCACACCGCTGGCTGGAGTCACTGGGTCAGGTGTCCTCCTCCGACCGTTCAGGTGTGGCTGGGATAGGGCCATGTGACACCAGTATGGCTGCTAGAGCCGCTCTCTTCCTGGCAAGCTATGGGAGATCAATTCAGAGAAAACGATGAGGCCTGTGACATTACTGAAAACTTACTGGTACCGGACTACCCCACGACCATTCTTTCTGATGATGGCACACTTTTGGGGAGAGCTACATCAGATAGGGGCTTCACTCTGCTCCAGTACAGCACAGGCCCCAGGTCCAAGCCAAACCAGCGCACACCTCAACCCGTTCAGAACCAGGAAGACTCAAGGCGACTTCCGCTGGGCCTCGGACAGGACAGAGGATGGCTGCTGGAAACTTGGGAGCTGTGAGGCTGGAGTCAACCCCACAGGAGCCCAAGGATGCCTCTGACTCCGAGAACAGAGCCAGGTAGAGAGCTGAGCTACATCCCCGGGTCCCTGAAGCTGGCTGGACCACGGTGCTGTTCCATCAGCCAGTAAATTCTCATTTGAATTGGACTCACTGTCACCTGCAGAGAAGCCTGGACGCAGGACTGTGAGGGCTCTGAGGAACGCATTCCCAATGATGACTCCATGGTGACTCCAAGTGGGGTCACTTCTGTCTCCCAAGGTGCCCCCACAGGGACAGCCCTGGTAAACCTAATTTCTGCATCACCCTCCAGGCAATCAAAATGGTGACCCCTCCCAAGGGGATAAGAGCATGCGAAGGAGGCCTCTTGGGCCTGTCCCCCAGCCCCACACACCAGAACGGCTTCTACACAGCAGGCACTCATGACCGCCCCCTAGAGGGTGCTCCTTGGGAAGTGAGACTCACCGGTGAAGCAGCGAATCAGAACTAGACATCCTTGCTCAATGTATGGCCCTGCCACTGAACTGCATGCAGCACGACCCTCAGCACAGAGCGCTCGGCTCCGCACCGCGGTGAGGCCGGCCCACAGCAGGCGGCCATCTACCTCCTTCCTTCCCAAGTCTGGGTGGGGGGCGAGGAGCTGTGGGAAGGTGGCCCAGCCCCACCCCCGCACACAGCACACCACACACCGCTGCACCCAGGTGCAGGTACAGTTTATTCTTCACAACAGAGAAATACAAAGAGCAGAAGGGTTGTAATGTCTTTGTTTCTTGCCCCCTTTAGTGTTCTTCCCCCAAGGTGGATTTTTACTTTGCTCCCCACCTTTTTAATAGAATGCAAACCTCTCTCCTGAAGTGTGGGATGGGCACCTGCCCTCGCCTCCCTGCCACCAAGATGCAGACTGAGAAGCCAACAGACTGTTTTCTCTTTTTTAATAAGGTAACTAGTTCTAAATATGGTGGCCTGGAGGTCCCATAGAAAAAAGCAAAGGGGTGTTAACAGTATGTATAACAGCATATTTACAGGGTAGTAACATGCGGACGAAAAACTACAATACTGAGTATCAGACAAGTCAAACAAAGGGGGGGGGCAGAGAACCCCGTGGGAATAGAAACCCCAGGAAAGTTAAACTGGTAAATCAATGGCGAGTTAAGGCTTAAAAAGTGTATAAAAATAACACAGTTAATATTCAAAACGGAACTCCAGATACAGAATATATAGATGAGTTTCTGTCTAGTTTTCTTTTTTTTTTTTTCCCGGGGGAAGTGGAGGGGCTTTTCCGGGCTCTGTACATGGTTCCTATATACACGGACACACATGGCTTTCAGATTGGGGATGTCTGTGGGGGCCAGCTGGAGGGGGCAGGGTCTGTTCCTGGGACCCTCCTCCTGGAGGATCCCTTCCCTGCTGAGGGGCCTGGTGCCTGGGCTGGGGATTCCCCTTCCATGGCAGGGAAGACAAATAGCCCCTCCCTGGGCACTGCCCCCATCTGAGGAAACTCTGGAAGGGGTCCTAGTCCCAGGCCCACTCCCTCCCCATCCCCCTGCCCACAGTCTGGGGTGGCGGAGAGGTAGCCGATAGGTTTCCTGGCCAGCACCGAGGTAGACTGGGGTGGTCGCTGGGGCAGTGGGGGTGGGGCCAGGTCTTACCCAGCCCTCCCCCTCCCCCGTTTTCCTGGGCCTGCTGTCCAGCCTGTCACTGCACCATTTTGGTCCTGCAGATCTCCCGGCCCCTCTTGTTGCCACCTCCCGAAGCTTGGACAGCCCTGACAGCTGCCACACCCTCTGCTCAGTGAAGCCCAGAGCACAGCTCCGTCAGTACGAGCCGGGCACCCAGGGCTGAAGGGCTCGCTTCAGCTGCCTCCTACCGCCTCCCTCCTGGGGGTCCCCTTTGCTGTCCAGAACCCCAGGCCTGGGCTTTCCCTCAAGACCCAAGGCCATGGCTGGAGAAGGTCCCACGCTGCCCTCTGGTTCTCTGCATCCATCTGTCC